TCAATTTCATCTTATCCACTCTCATATCTTTTAGGAATCAACATTCAAATCATCATTGTTAATGCCACTCATCTAAAGTACCTTTTCAAGAAGGCTTCTCCCTAATTACGAGTTCATACAATTCCTAGCATCCTAATAATTAGTTCATAAGTGCAGGAGCTTAACGACAACCATATAATATTGGGAGAAATTCCCCCGGATCTAGACTTCCCGTACGTGCCCGTTAAGACAAAACCAACTAATCATGCATCGCAATGAGTTAAACACGCAAGCATTAGCAAAGAGGAAAAAACCCTAACTAATGATGATAGAAAGCATAGGATATATATATATATATCGTATTTATTCATTTATATGTAAGTATTTTTAAATCTCTCTAGGGTGTTTCTAAAATTTTGAATATATTAACAAATTCATGTTTTATTTTTCCTTTACTTCATACTCAATTTGTCAATGTACCTAAATAATAAATTTACTAGTTAAATTTAATTATTAAAATAGTTGAAACATAGGAAAAATTCTAGAACAAGGGATTCAATAGAATTTTTAAAAGCATTTTGCAAATAAATGTTTAAGCTATTTTGCAGGGGTTAAACAGTCTGCAATAAATATTAAACACTTAAGTTTTCAAACCGCGTTTAAGAAAGCGAACAAACAAGACAAACATATTTTTATACTAGTTCATTCCAATTGAGCTACGTCCAGTCCTCCCTTAAACATAATTAAGAGATTCTATTAATCTTTAAAATATTACAACGAGTTTTACCACTCTTGGTTTCTAAATTATCCAACCTAGATAGACGAGTTTACCCACTTCTAGTTCAACACCACTCTTTCGGACTAGACCATTTAGTTCAACTAAATTAAACAATCAAGTGTTTTGATTCTCTTCAGAATTTACAAAAACAACAAAAGTGTTCCTGAAAATTAAGTACAGATTCAAAGCTTTCAAAGAGAGGATAATTTCAATATAAAGCAATCTGAACACTTGTAAAACATTTTCTTTTACAAAGAAGGCACTAGACGATGAAATGGGAAGAACCAAGTGTTTGTGTAATAGAACCTTTTTTCTAGAGAGTTTGTAATGTTAACAAACATTGTCTCTAAGATATATAACATCTTATACAAATTTATCATAGACAATTTGCTTATGTTGTTGAACATTGTTTTTAGCAAGCATATCCTATACGATTTAATTAATAAATGTTATTTTGTTAAGTATTCATTTGTTAAACTTCAAAACAAGAGTTGCTAGACAATCTTGTCTCTACTTAACCTTTCAACAAAGGTTCGCAGAGATTACCTTTTTTCTTGCCTATTGTTGAAGAGTGGGAGGGAGGTAAGGTGATGATGATAGCTCGTGACGAACTATATTGTAAAGGACCACACTTCGAAGCTGCCAGGAGCCGCTCCTTGTCTGTGCCCCCTGCACCATGCTCCCTGCACCGGCGTCACTCCCCGCCCTCGTCAGTGCCCGGGTGTCACACACACCAGTGTATCGAAAGCTTTGCACATGATGGAATCGTCAGTCGAGTAAAGACTGACTTGAATGGTCTCCTTAAGTTGAGTAAGGATTGTGCTTACAGAAGACACTTTAATGCCTAAGTCATCCTAGTGTATCAACAAGCAATAAATGGAATAATTAATTAATGTAATTAATATACTTCGTAAGATGTGTTGTTTATACTACTATTCATGAGCTTTACTTGGGCCTAGGTCCATTGGTCCAAATACCTGTTAGTTTTTGAATTATCAAGGTTAACTAGAGATAATTATGATTAGGTGGCATGTGTGATGTTCTGTTGGTCGAGTAGGGATGGACCTAATGCATGTCAACTTAGTAGTCTAAGATATATTCAATCTATGGAAAGTGGTACTTGATCATATACAATACACATTTCAATAACAAAATTTTTATTGCATTCAACATCCTAACCTTTGCAATTTGCATTATTCATTAAATTTCAATTCAAAGCTATAATGCAAAAGTGCGATTTTATAACATTTTATTTGTGATTTTATAACATTTTATAATTAGGGTTCATAACATTACATTTGGGATCATAATTAAGTTCAGGCCAATTTCATAAAAGAATCCCTAAATTCATAATTAGAGTTTATCTTAATTTAGGAAAAAAAAACTTGATTAGGAACAACCATCATAGAAGGAGAATCATAAATCTAACAAAAAAAAAGTTTGAATATTGTGTAAGTTCATTTGTACGTTCCTAATTTATTCATACATTAACCTACTTAAATCATAATAGGATATTAACCTTGACTTGATAATGAGATCTAATAAGAATGTGTTGTTCAATCTCTTTGTTTTATAACTTCCTTTTCTCACTCTATCTTTTTTTTTTTTTTTCTTACACTTTCTTTTGATGATTTTCTCATAAACAAAATCTTAATCTCTTTTATTAACCAACCTCCATCAAGTTGATTCCCATAAATTTATTTTTACTATGACTTTCCATAACTTATATTTTATTGAATTACGTTTAAATCTATCATAATATTTTATTAAATCACATAATTGACTGAATTTGTAAATTAAGTCTAACCTGAAGGATAATGGGGTGTGTAAGCAGGGAGGTTGTGTTGTCTGATGAAAGAAAAACAATGGAAGAGAAAATAAAGGAGATCGATTAGAGAGGAATAAGATGAAAAAAAAAAGAGTGAAGATAAAGATGATTGGAGTGTGAGAATATTCAATGGAGAGTGACCTTTTAAGGATGCTGGGGCTGTGATGATGTGTGGGGAGTGTGAGGCCAAAAGTGAGAAAAAAAATGATAACCCCTGCCTTTGCTATTTTGATTATGTAGTAACCAAAATGGAGAGTGAAGGTGAGAAGGGAAGCGTGGATATTGTTGTTGAAGATGGAAATAAAAATGTGAGTGCGTGAGTTGAGCCTGCAAAAATAATGTAATCCAAAACAACAAACGAATCAAACAGAAATAAAGCGCAAAGCAAAAACGCCTATGCTTAAGCCAGAAACAAAGCTGTTGGACGATAGACAAAAGAGCAGAAACAGAGTTTATTTGAAAATTTTCCAAAATTTAAATATGAACCATTAAAAATCAATAATGAAAATATTTATGTAATATTTGTGATTGAAATCCACAAAATAACAATAAATTTCACCAACAAAGTAGAGATACAAAATTTACCTTAGCAAATTGAGCTCATGTAAACAAAGATAGTGGTCATGATAGAAAAAGTTCAAAACACAGAAGAAATGAATGGCTAACACTCTGTGTAGAACACAAAAAGTCATTACCAAAAAAGAAACTCTCAAAACCATCATTTATTCTAGAGAAAAATATTCTAGAGAAAAATATGAGAAAGAAAAACCAAAGTTGTTAACATGTTTTCTGTGACCTTCCAATGTATAAAAGTTTATATAAATTTTAAAAATATCATCGATCCCACATTTTTTCATGTTTACTTTCTTACCAACCATCTTTATAAAATTATGCAACTCTTCTCTTTTTACCTAATCAAAGTAAGTGTGAAAGTAATTTCGTAAACACGATCCTCTAAAATTCTTGAAAAATAAATGATTCATTGATAAGCACTTTTTTTTTCAAAAAGATTACTGAATAATTCCTTTTAATAATACAACATAATATTTAAATGATAAGAATAAATATAGATAAAAAGAATGATATATTTTATCGTAAAGAGGAAAATGAAATGAAAAGGGTGTGAATATGTATGACTGAAAATAGTTGTAGGTGTGTGATGACCACCAGATTCCTATGTACAAGCTCACCCACCACAATTCAATTGAAATCTTTGAACCATTGAAAACAATCACACAGAAAACAAAACCACAAGAACCCTAGGATCCCCGTGACTCTCGTTTCTTCTCCATGTTGTTAGCAATCTCACTCTCTTTCCACTTTATCTCACCTCTGCAATTTCATTTGCTTCACTTTTCTCAATTTCTCTTCTTTCCATGGAGCCACGTCCTTTGCACATAGCTATGTATCCATGGCTGGCCATGGGTCACCAAACAGCATTCCTCCATCTATGCAACAAGTTGGCCATAAGGGGTCACAGAATCTCCTTCATCACACCCACAAAAGCACAAGCCAAGTTGGAACCATACAACTTGCATCCTCACTTGATCACATTCGTTACCATCACTGTTCCTCACGTTGAAGGTCTTCCCCCTGATGCACAAACCACTGCAGATGTCACTTACCCTTTGCAACCAAACATCATGACAGCCATGGATCTAACCAAAGATGACATAGAAACCCTTCTCACTGATCTCAAACCTGAACTTGTTTTCTATGACTTCACACATTGGATACCAACCTTGACCAAGAAATTAGGCATCAAGGCCGTGCACTATTGCACTGCTAGCTCTGTCATGATTGGTTACACTCTTCCACCTGCTAGATATTACCAAGGGATTGACCTATCAGAAAGTGACCTCATGGAACCCCCAGAAGGGTACTCTCCTAATCATCAATACCCTTTCACATAGGTTTTAAATATATAGACTTTTTCTTTAAGTTTTATATTTATTAGGTTTTAAAGATATAGATATGAATTATATGAATATGTTGTGTAGTTATAATTGGTATCTGACATATGCAACACAGGTACCCTGACTCTTCCATCAAGCTTCATGCTCATGAGGCTCGAGCCTTTGCCGGAAAAAGAAAGGACACGTTTGGGAGCGATGTTCTCTTCTACGATCGCCAGTTCATAGCACTGAATGAAGCTGATGTGTTGGCATACAGAACATGCAGAGAAATCGAAGGGCCTTATCTTGATTACATTGGAAGCCAGTTCAAGAAGCCTGTGCTGGCTACTGGTCCAGTTATTCTAGAGCCACCAACCTCTGAGTTGGAGGAAAAATTCTCCACATGGCTTGGAGGGTTTGAGGAAGGATCGGTGGTTTATTGTTGTTTTGGGAGTGAGTGCACTTTGAGGTTAGAGCAGTTCCAAGAGCTGGTGCTTGGTCTTGAGCTGACTGGCATGCCATTCTTGGCAGCAGTGAAGGCCCCAGTAGGGTTTGAGACAGTGGAATCAGCAATGCCTGAAGGGTTTGAAGAGAGGGTTAAAGGGAGAGGGTTTGTGTATGGAGGTTGGGTTATGCAACAGTTGATTCTTGCACACCCTTCTGTGGGGTGTTTCATCACACATTGTGGTTCTGGTTCTTTGTCTGAGGCACTGGTGAACAAGTGTCAGTTGGTACTGCTGCCTAATGTTGGTGATCAGATTCTGAATGCAAGGATGATGGCCAACAACTTAGAGGTTGGTGTGGAAGTTGAGAAGGATGAGAATGGAAATTACACAAAGGAGAGTGTGTGCAAAGCTGTGAGCATTGTGATGGATGAGGAAAATGAAACCAGCAAGAAGGTGAGAGATAATCACACTAAGCTCAGAGAGACCCTCCTTGACATAAATTTGGAGTCTTGTTATCTTGACAACCTTTGCAGCAGACTCCAAGAGATAGTTGATGAAGGAGTTTAACTTCCAACCATTGGAATTCACACAAAACATCATACAATAAATGTTGTAGTATTTGCACAAAATTGTCACATTAAACACATGTTACATGAATACAGTTTAGACTCAATGACTACATGTTATAAAAATCAAGCAAAAAAAACTGAAAAAACTGAAAGAGATCAAATGAAACCTCTACAAATATAGAAGCTAATATATTTAAATAAAAGAAAAACTATAAGATGTCCATTGTTCTATTTTTTAGAACAAAATTATTATAAAAGTTTCAAACTTAAAAACAAATAAAATATATCTCATATTGTGATTAATCTAATCATATTATCTCACCATATAACAATATTATATCAATTACGAGCTTCTTCGCACATCATAAATGTTAAGATAAATTATAGGAAACATGAAAAATAATATAAAGTGATGAAAATAGAAAATAGAAAAAAAAAATATTAATGGAGTATTTGATGTATCAATATGTCTATATCGTCTTAAAGACAATAAATTACGAAAAAAAGAAAAAATAGATGAAACTGTGTGTATAATTTATCTACCCAATCCAATAAATATATTAAATAGTTTAGTTTCACAAGGCTCAATCAATGTTATTAATATAAAGTAGTTAAATAATATTAACAGATATATTTATTAGTACAGTTACACTATATTAGCAAAATATAGTGAAATCAATTATATTATAAATATCTTTTAATCTGGTTAAATATATATATATATATTAATGTTATTATCATACTAACCAAACATAAAAATAGTAAGTTTTTATTAGCTCTGGTTAAATACACTCATATTTTCATACTCAACAATATTCTCATAGATTCTAAAGTTTTTTCGATGACTTGAGCGTTGAAAAGTCTTTTTCATGTAAATCTTCTCCCTCTGGACAACGAGGGATTCAATTCTAGCATTAGGAACATTCAAGCCAACATTTGAATTAATATGGAAAATCAGAGACTAACATGTGGCATATATCCATCACTCAAAAATTGAACTACCTAAATGATCACAAATCATCATCTTCATCTTTTATCTTCTCCTACCAAACCTCAATGTTGCCACTGTTGGACCTTCTTCGACTCCAACTGCACCTCGTCGACATTCACTAGTAGCAACGGTGTGCCACCAGAGCAATGTTGTCGGTGACCCAGATGCAAATCGCACGTGAGAACACCATGAGCACGTTATTGGATTGTGAAAATGCAACGAGCCTCCCAATCCACCATGACAAACAACTTTTTGTCACAAAAAAATGTAGCGGTTATTCCTCTTGGACAAGAGTTTCTTCTAGAATGACCATAGTGGCAGGCGACGACCACTTCAACGCGTCCACACCGTCACACATGAACATCGGTGTCGCTAGACGCACAATAATTGATAGTTGCAGGTGTTGGAATCATAAATTGATTTTTTATTTTAAGCGTATAAGATAAAAGCCCAAGATTAGAAAAGACCCAAATAGAATTTTAGAAAAATCCTATCTAGAAGGATTCTACAATGAAGTATGCAAATATCTTGAGAGTTATTATCTATAAGATGTTTTTATATAAGTCCATATAATGTCTAGAATCATAAGAATATTTTATAAACTTTTAGAGAATGAGTTATAGCCCTTGGATGAATTTTGTAGTGGCAAGATCCCAACATTGGTTGAGGAGGTGCCACTAGTATAAATAGGGATGATGTATTACTAATTGTATCATATGTAATCAAGCCAAAATTAGAAGCACTCAATATTACAACAAGCCTTCCCTTTCTCGAAATATTCTAACCTCTCCAAATTTTTAAACACTTCCTTCAAGCCTCTAAAATTTTCTCCCAACAAAGTGGTATCAGAAGCACAAAATCTTCATAAAAATGACAAATATAGAGTTCCCTTTCAAGTCTCGATGCTCACCAAGAGCAACTACGACAATTGAAGCTTAAGGGTGATAGTTATCCACAATGCACATGATGTATGAGAAGTGGTCGAGAAGGGCCATATCGAGATAGCGAATGTGGACAATCTTTATCAAGCTCAAAAAGAGAGTTTGAGATACTCAAGGAAGAGAGACAATAAAGCTCTCTGTCTAATCTATCTTGGATTAGATGAATATAATTTTGAGAAGATTTATGGAGTCAAGTCGGCTAAGGAAGCATGGGAGAAGCTTAAGATCTCTTACAAGGGAGTTGATCAAGTAAAAAAGGTATGTGTTCAAACTTTAAGAGGAGAGTTTGAAGCTTTGCATATGAAGGAAGGTGAACTTGTCTCTTATTACTTTTCAAGAGTTTTGACAATTACTAATCAACTAAAAATAAATGGTGAGAAGTTAGATGATGAAAGAATTATGGAGAAAATTCTTAGATCATTAGATCCAAAGTTCGAATATATTATCACCATTACTGAAGAAACCAAAATTTTGGAGGTCGTGTTAATAGAGCAACTTCTTGGTTCATTGCAAGCTTATGAAGAAAAGAAAAGGAAGAAGGATGAGATTGTGGAGCAAGTCCTCAAGACACAAATTGATTCAAGAAAATAAGAAAACATATGCAACCAATCAAGACGAAGTTATAGTCAAGAACAAGGACGAGGGCCTAACAACAACAACCAAAGAGGAGAAAACTCTATAAGAGGTCATGGGGAGGAAATACGAATTCAAGGTATGACAAGTTATGCATCAAGTGTTACAATTATGATAAATTCGAACATTATGCTTCCGAATATAGAACCCCTAGCAGAAATAAAGCCAAAGAGAAAGCTAACTACGCTGAAAAAAGGTGTCAAGAAGATGGTACCTTGCTACTGGTTTACAAAGGCCAAGATAGAGACAAGGATGATCAATGGTACCCTGACAGTGCAGCAAGTAACCATATGTGTGGTAAAAGAAGCATGTTCATGGAGCTTAATGAAACAATGGAGGGAAACATGGTTTTTGAGAAGAATCATAGGTGGCATCAAAAGTAAAGGTAATGTCCTCACTAAAGAACGGAGAACATCAATTTATTTCCAACATATATTATGTGCCAAGCATGAAGAGCAACATCTTGAGCTTAGGACAATTCTTAGAGAAAGGTTATGATATTCAACTTAAGAATAATAACCTTTCTATAACAGATAATACAAATTCATTGCGAAGGTGTCGATGACAAGAAATAAAATGTTTGTGTTCAACATTCAAAGTGATAGCCAACAATGTCTCAAGATGTGCTACAAAGACGAATCATGGCTTTGTCACCTTCGATTTAGCCATCTTAAATTTAAAGGATTATAGTTGTTCTCCAAGAAGGCAATAGTGAGAGGGTTGTCTTGTATTACTCACCCTAATCAAGTTTTTGAAGGATGTGTACTTGGAAAACAATTCGATTGAGTTTTCCAAATGAGTTGAACTCAAGAGCCCAAAAGCCATTAGAACTCATACATACAAATGTATGTGGCCCAGTCAAGCCAAGATCACTCGGTTGAGTAGTTATTTCCTTCTCTTCATTGATGATTTTCAAGAAAAACATAGGTATATTTCTTAAGGGTTAAATATGTTTTTGATCCCTTAACTTTTAGTGAAATTTGGAATTAGTCCCTCTTCAAAACTTTGGCCTAATTTAGTCCCCAAACTTTAAAAATGTGTGAATTTAGTCCTTTGAACTAAATTTTGTTAGGTTTATTTGATGTTTCAAGTGCCTTTCATGATAGCATTTGAGTTGTTTATACCATTTGACATATTTTTGCTTCAATGTTAACTGAGAAATGCGTTTGAAACATCAAATAAAGTTAACAAAATTTGGTTAAAAGGACTAAATTCACACATTTCTAAAGTTTGGGGACTAAATTAGTCCAAAGTTTTGAAGAGGGACTAATTCCAATTTTCACTAAAAGTTAAGGGATCAAAAACATATTTAACCCATTTCTTAAAATAAAAATCAGAGGTATTTGAGCACTTTAAGAAGTTAAAGCCCATGATGAGAAGGAAAGTGGCCTTGTGATCAAAGCTTAAGATTCGACCATGGAGAAGTGTTCACATCAAAAGAGTTTCAGAAGTACTAAGACAATGGAATTAAATTACTGTTGGCAGTGTCAAGTTCCCCTCAACAAAAATGGAATTCCGGAAATAAAGAATAGAACAGTTTTAGAGATGGCAAGGAGCATGCTTAAAAGCAAGAGATTTCCAAAGGAGTTTTTGGCTGAAGTTGTTGCATGTGCAGTTTATCTTACCAACCACTCTCCAACAAGGAGCGTAAGTGGAAAAACACCACAAGAAGCGTGAAGTGGAAGAAAGCCATGTATTTATCATCTTAGAGTCTTTGGAAGCGTAGTTCATGTCCATATACTAGATGAGAAGAAAACTAAGCTTGATGAAAAAAGTGAAAAATACATCTTCATTGGTTACAACGCAAACTCCAAAAGGTGCAAGCTCTACAACCTTGATACAAGAAAAATAATTATCGGTTAAAATGTAGTGTTTAATGAAGAAGGAGAATGGGATTGGTCGACAAATTGTGAGGACTATAACTTCTTCCCGTGCATTGAAGAAGATGACGTGGAAAAATCACAACAATCAAAAAACGCATTTGGTACCCTACCTACTTCACCAAATACAATACTTTAAGAAGATGTTCACACGAAAGAACTCCACATTTTCAAAGTCTACAAGAAATCTGTAGGGTAACTGAAATTCTAGACAATGTCACATTATTTTGTCTATTTGCGGACTGTGATCCCATGAACTTCTAAGAAGCAATTGAAAAGAAGAGTTGGAGAAATGTTATGGATGAAGAGATCAAGGCGATAAAGAAGAATGATACATGGGAGTTAATCTTGCTTCCAAAAGGGCACAAAGCAATTAGTGTCAAGTGGGTTTACAAAGCAAAGATGAACTCCAAAGGAGAAGTTCAAAGATACAAGGCAAGATTAGTGGTGAAAGGTTGCAGTCAAAGAGTTGGCATCAACTATGACAAGGTATTCGCTCCATTTGTTTGACTAGAAACGGATATATCATAAGCAGCTCAAAACAATTGAAAGATGCATCAA